TATGAAATTTTTAATATACAATTTCTTTTATGTATCAAAAAATTATTGAATCGATCATATTAATATATATATACATATCTACTACTAATATTATTGCATATATAATTTTTACATTATACTGAAAAATAATTGAGTCAAGAGCATAGAAGAAAATCTCACGTTGTACGAATTTAATCATTTCTCTATGATTTATCATCGAGATGAATCACTTTTTCACATCTGACGAAAATTCGTCACGGACAAGTCATAACATTTTTGCACATATAAATATATATTTATATCTTCTGGTTCGTGAGATATACGTATAAACATACACGGATACATGCATGCATGCATACAGAAACGTATGCGCACACATTTATGTATATTTGTTTTTCTTTGGAGTGGGAGGTGGGGGATGGGGATTAGGGGCGTGATGTGTTGGTTTGTTTTTTTTTAAAGAAAGTATTTTTAAAAGGACACTAACACACGCGAAAGAAAAAGAAAAATGGTTTTCTGGAAATTTGATCGAGAAAAAGTAACAAAAAAAAAAAAAGGAGAAAACATTTAGTAGTCGTGTTTTACGTTGGAAATTATTACAAATATTACAGCCGACTTATCAAAATCGTGAAGCCATCGAGGAGACCATTACAAAATCATCGAGTACAACTTATACACAAAATCCAAACACCGGTGGGAAGATGCCGTCTTTGAACAATAATCTTTCGGAATTGGACACGTTGCTTCAAGATTTGAGCAATGCTCGTTACAATTCGCATTATCAAGATAGAGGTTTGTTTTATTAAACAATTTTATTAATATATATATAATATCTCGAGAAAATAAATTAATTATTATTCATTTTAAAATTCGATTATATTCTATTAAATATTGATTAATTATTTAATTTTAAACTAATTGAATATTGAGATTCGATTAATATATTGAATATTATATGAACAATTAATTATTATTAGTTTTTATTCTTTGATTATTTTATATTGAATATATTTTTTAATATTATAATTTTTTCTTACAATACTATAAATAACATATAGAAAATTATTTGTATATTTTTTTTAATACCCACATACACACACACACACACACACAATTAGTTATTAAAATAATAATTAAGAATTAAATATGTACATAAAACAATATTTCAAAAATATTATCCAAGAAAAGAACCTCAGGGAAAATAACTAAATTCGATTAACAATACTCGTCCTTTTTAGACAGTCATGTATCAACGGGGGGTGTTAATGGGGGTACAACTAGTCCGATGCTTCGTTCACCGAGTAGTATGTCAGCCCCTCGCCCAACCGTCGATGCTTTGCTCGAAGAACTTAACACAGCGGTGCCTAATGGGTGAGTACAAATTTCCATTAAAAAATAATAATAATAAAAAAAAAAACAAAAATGAAAAGAGAAAATTAGATATTCATGAAAAAAAAATGTATATCGAATGCGCTTAATAAGCAAAAACCAACCGAGAAAAGCAGAAAAAAAATAAACAAAAACGAAAACAATTATTGTACAATTATCAGGGAATATCCCAGCGATGGTAGAGTCAAGGTCACCATAAAAGAAACTTCAACAGAAATTCAACCAGTCTATGATGGTTACCCTTCGAGTCAGCATGGTTCCTTGAATCGATCCGAGATTCAACAACGTAGTTATGCCAACGGTCATACAGCCAGTAACGCAACGAAAGAGCTCGACGATTTGATGGCCTCCCTTTCCGAGTTCAAGGTATAACTTATTTGACTCTTAAAATAAAGAGACGAGAAGAAGGTGATGGTTACTTTAAGGGGATGGGGTAGGGTGGGGTGGGGTGTTGGAGAGGGAATGAGGAAAGAAGGTTGGGACGTAGCTGATGATGCAGAAAATTCAGATCAATTGTCAAGGATTCTTAAAGTAACAAAGTGAACAATAGTATTACCTTATACTACTCTACTTATTACTATCAGAAATCTCAATCTATTGTTATTTGATTTTTTCCTTTGTTCCTTTCTTTACTCTTCTTTTTTTTTTTTTCTTTTTTTTTTTCCTTTTTGTTTTTAAAGACTTGACATGTAATAATATGCGCGGGCTATTCACATTCTACCAATTCACTGCAGAATCAGAAAACAGTGATGATGTTCAAAACCTACTACTCCTGCCCATTCTTGGCTCCCCGAGTTACCAAAATAACTTTCATTCCACCATCCACCAGACCAGTAGAATTACCTACCTACCTACCTAACCGTTTACTCTCTTCATCTCCTACACTACTCTCTTTCTCTCTCTCTCTCTCTCTCTCTCTCTACTTTACTTTACTCTTCTCTTCTCTTTTGGCGTCCCCTTTTCTCCACTTCTCTTGATTTTCTGTATTTCTACGTGAGGAGGTAGGGAAAATATAAGGGGGGAAGGTGGGTAAGAAGAAGTAGCAGAAGAAGAAGATGAAGAAGAAGAAGAAGGGGTGAGGAGAGGAGAGATGTCTAGTGATCCAAGAAGCTGCCGAAAGCTTCTCGGTCAGTCTGCAAGCTCGCCTGTAACACTCGACATCTCCTACAGTGAGGATCTAAACAACACTTCCTCCCTTTTTTCTTCTCTCTTTCTTTCTTTCTTTTTTTTTATTCTCTCTCTCTCTCTCTTTCTTACGTTTCAATATACCTAGACAAATCCTACCTTGACATACATTTTCTCATTTCAATCATATTAATTTTAAGCTTTTGTGGAAGCTTCCAAGATCGAGATTGTTTTTCTTTTTTTTTCTTTTTTTGGTAATGAATATCATAAATCATAATTAAAGACAACACACATACATACACGAGACAGAAATAATCATTTAAATTCCAAGTATATATATATATAGGGAAAGGAAAAGAATAATAATAAAATTTATAATAGAGTATATATATATATGTATATTTTTCATAGTTTTCCCCCTCACATTTATTTTCCAGATCAATAGCAGTTCTCATCAACATCAAACGGTGACCGATTCTCCATACGCTAAGCCAAATAAAGCTACTAAAAGTTCGCAAAGCCCGTTGCCACCGGCTGAGGGTACACCACAAACGAGAATACACATTACAGAAACTCAATCCACACATCATTATCAGCAACAGCAGCACGGTGAAAGTCATACAGCACAAGCAGCAACACAAATCAAACAGAATCAATTGGATTCTATGCTAGGAAATCTTCAGGCAGATATGAGCCGTCAAGGTGTTAATACTACGCAAAAGGGATGTTGCAATGCCTGCGAAAAACCAATCGTAGGACAGGTGAATGAAGACGAAATCACAACCCTCTCTCTCTCTCTCTCTTTTTATATATATCTATGTGTTTTTTTTTCTTTATTAATTTGTTTCTATTATTAACAATTACGTTTTTATTTAGGTAATCACGGCCTTGGGTAAAACCTGGCACCCTGAACATTTCACATGTACTCATTGCAATCAGGAATTGGGTACTCGTAACTTTTTTGAAAGAGAAGGACATCCTTATTGCGAACCCGATTATCATAATCTTTTTTCACCGCGTTGTGCTTATTGCAATGGTCCAATTCTCGATGTAAGATATATTTCAAGATCGTCAATTGATACGTTTCGATTAAATATGCTTGTAGATGTATTTAAAAAAAAAAAAAAAA